TTTTTTATTTAAATATATTTTTTATTTTTTTATATAATTTTAAAATTTTTTAATTTTATATGTTGATTTAAGGATTCGCGCACTGTACACTACAGAAAGAAATTGGCAACCAGATAATAATCTAGTGTTATTTGTGATAAAAGCGGAATTTGGTTAGAAATTTTTAACAAAAATCCTTCAAATTTGTATAAGTAAATGCTTCAAGATTAATGTTACCCATTCGTTGGGGAATATATGGGTAGGGAATAGACAAGATGGAAGGTAGTACACAAAACCAGGTTGAATATAGGCGGGATATAGGAGGCTCTGGTAGGTTTAGGCCGAGGATAAAGTAGTCCTAATACTCATAGTAGCTATGTAGGTTGTACTTACTATATGTAATATTGGTAATCTACCGAAATAAAGACTTGAGGTATAAGACCTCACCTTAACACCGAAAAAAGAAAAAAAAATTTTTTATCACAAATTTTTTTTAATAATTAGATTGAAATTTAAATTGATATTGTTCAATAAGAAAAGTTAATTTAACAATACGTTTTTGGGCAAAAATTATAAGCTGGGCAGCTTTACTTAATGAGTGGCTATGATAAAACTTTTATCTTGGGCAAAATTTGCCGATCTGAGTTGTGTGGAATACTAGTAAAAATTATCCCAGAATTTGTAAATCAGCAATAAAATATGTAAAAAAATTTTTCTAATTTTGACCCGGCCGGGTTACAAAACCAATTAATTTTGTATGGCCTAATTGGGAATGGACTAGGAAAACCGTCTGACACTTGCTTTCAGATAGGGTTTTCCTAGTCCATTCCCAAATTAAATCATTATCGACTTATATGATCGATTGTACTTTCATATGTTTAAATAAAAGCACCAGAAATTCAAGTTTCTGCAAAATTACTTTGTTAAATATAACATACTCAAAAGTTTAATAATTTTTTTTATTTCAAAAAAAATATATTTTAAAGGGCGGACTTGTTTCTTAAAACACCTTTATAAAGTTGAAAAACTAACTGTTCAAAATCTAAAACAAATTATCACTGTAATTTGTACATATTTAATATTTAAATCATCGGAATGTACTATTATGATCATTCCGGACGTAAACTTTGCCCACCCACTGCATAGTTATATATATAGTCTTTACATTTTGAATGTTTTTACATTGCTAGAGTGTTATAAAAGTTCACAATGTAAACAAAAAAACAAACAAGTTAAATTTTATTACAAGAATATTATATCAACTTACCTTTAATACATCTAACCACTTTGATATGCTCATGAAAAGGTGACAAAAAAAAATTGTAATCAAATAAGGTGGATCAATTTCCAAAATTTTAAACTTACTCAATTGGCAACCTCCATTCCAAAAAACATAGTCTTCGATATTCTTCTTGATTAGGTGGTTTCAATTCCCTATTTTATAATTAATGTTAGGAACAATATTTCTAAAATTATAATTGTAGAAATTAACTCATCAAAAAATAAAAGGATACGGGTTTGAAATATATTTTAGCAGTTCTTCAAGTGCCTCAGTTTGTTTAATTGCAATTTTCATATTGCTCATTTTTAAATAGTCGATAAAATCTTCGTCTTGATTCATTTCATTAAATTCTACAACTTCATTAACGTCTTTTTGCCCTTCAGGGGAGGACAATTTTATTTCATTAAACTTCTTGTTAACATCTAGGAGAAAGCTAACAATTTGAGGATTGCGCTCCCGTAAATTACGGCAAATTATATATCTATAAAAAATAAATATTAGAATAAAAAATCTAGTAGTATGCAGCATCGACATTTGAACGAACCGTTCAGAATTTGCAGGTCGACTTGATAGGGGTTTAATAATACATATTTTTTCGAAATGACGATATAAGATCCATACCATCCCAGCAGTAAAAGGAGTGAAAACGTCAAATAATTTTAAAACAAAATCACCATCTGAGGAAGCAAAATTACAAATAAGATACATATTAAATAATAAAAATAACAAGTTTAACAGAAATTTGTTTACTCTTTTGCAAAGTCATAAACATTGTAATTATCTGACATAGTATAAGTTGTTTTAAATGATGTTCCTGAAGACGTTCACGACCTCGAACATCAAATCCCTAATAATAATAATAATAATTTTATTTATTAGTAAAAATGAAATAATTGAATATAAAATATTAATATAGTTTACCCCATCAGCAGTAACCAAGTCAGCACCTTCATTTTTAGTCCCCATCATCACCTCATTTGCAAAATGTCGAATATTTTCTTCCTTATAAAGATTACCTACATCAATAATCTATATTATGATAGTACTATAAAGTGAACACGAACATAACGATCTTAAATCATACCTGTACCATCCGCACCATAAGAAGGTTTAAAACATTCGCGAACCTTAGCATCCGCTATGAATCTATTTAAATCATAATTTTGATCACCAGTCAAAGTAATGCCCCAACCGTAAACCTTTTCGCCATAAGAATGTTTTCTCCATAATATATATTCTAATAGTAAGATGTTCAAGTAAAATAAGTAAAATTTAAATTAAATAGACAGACATATCATCTATTAAAAACCTGAAAATCCGCCCGGCCCTCCACATAAATCTGTAAACCAGAATACCTACATGATAAAAGGTTAATTTTCTGATGCAATTAAAGGATAAGTATATGAAAATTTTATAACTACCAGATCTTTTACTGGATCGTATCTTTTTACACCGGTAAAATTGACCAATGCATCCAAACATGCCAATTTAGAAGCGGATCGATTCATGAAAATCGAGTGGCCAACTTTTTCATAAGGATTGGATTTTCCACGGGCAGCTGTAAATCGTTCGTGTGGGATATTTTTAAGGGCTTTCTAAACAATAATAACAAAATTAATTAATAAGAATTGGAATATCTATATTTAATCGGAATTACCTTTTTATCGAGGAGTAATTGCACAACAGCTGCTTCACAAAATTGGTTATAATCTGGTTCAATAATCTTTTTAAGATGTGTATTTTTAATAAATTAATAAGTAAATTGCTGGGTAAGAATGGTCAAAATTGTATATATTAAGGATCTTACAGGTCCTACTACAATTTTTAAGCCATTAATAGATTTTCCTTCTTCATAAGGAATTTGGCAAGACAAAAAATTGGCATTTTGTTTTTGAATCTCAACCGGAGTTAATAGTTGCTGATTTGAAAGGTCATTTGGAGGAGTACTCGTATGCATAGAATGAGTAGAAGAAATATGAGGTGTTGAATGATAACTATTATGGCCATAATAACTTTGTTGGTATTGAGCTGATCTTTGATGTTGCTGGGATTGTAAAGGAGGACATGTTTCAAGTGTAGGACGAGGAATTGGGGAGACTAATGGAGTATTGCGATACTCGGGATCTTCGTCTTGTCATTTTTTAACAGAATGAGGAAAATTATTAAGCAAAATTACTATTAGTTAGTATTTATCGGTATATACGTTGCAACTTACCAGTATATGGGTCGTGGTTCATAGTTGGAATATAAAGTAAGTATGGCGCTTGAATACAATTGCAAATCAGGGTTTTTATTTTATTGTGAAACACAAATAAAAAAGGAAAATTTCAGGAAGATTAAAAAGTGAGACTCCCCAAATACGGAAATGATTCCTATCTGGTTACACATGATTTTCAACCAATAATATCGTGAATTTTAGCAATCGACCAATCAGATTGCAAAAAAGAAGTTGTGAGATTATGAGAAATATTATAAAGCGAAGTGAAAGCATTAATCATCCATTATATTTACTGAAAGTTAAGCTACCTGAGCTTTAGAAAAATTATTCCAACATTTGGGACGGTCTCACCCATTCGTTTTCGGAGACGACCCGAAAGATAAAATTATACTTTCGTAACTTTTGTATGACTTCCAAACACAGATTTTTCATAACGATATTGTTTTACAGGAATTTGTCGATAGCGAAAGATCATTTATTTGTAAGGATTTATAACACAGATAACACAGGTGTTAAGAGATTTCTTCATTAGCGCGTTGTACAATGGCTTCCGCAAATCGTATGATTCTTACTTTATTTACATCTAAGTCATGTTCTCTTTGTATTGATGCAAAATACACGATCGATCAAGTGAGAAGAAAGGTAGTTGTTTTGGATTTATATTATTGAATAAAATTTTTTTTTATTTATTCATTTTATTATACATTACAGATCCCATTTGATTTAATTCAAAAAGATATCAAACTTTCAGAAAATTCGGTTTGGTTTCATAAATACAAATATGATATTCCAGTACTTCACTTAAATGATCAATTCCTATTCAAACATAAAGTAAAGCAGGATAAATTAGAGTTAGTACTCAAAAGATTTCAAGAAACTGGTAAAATTTCTTCTGAATTTGTTGATGAAGAAGTTAAGACCGATTAGTCCGAATAATTTATTTTTTTGAATTGCAACCTTCATATAAGTGTTGCAGAGTAGAAATTTGTTAATAGGCACAGGACATGTTATTCTTAGTGTGATCAAATGAGATGACTTACTATAATTTTATATTGAAAATTTATTAGGTTACACATAGTGTTTATACACAGGTACTATTTATTTTAATTTATTGATTTACAAATTTGTGTAAAGAATATAAAGTATATAAAACAAAAATTAACACCATTTATCGTGCAAACTCTTATGATAGATTTTTTCCTTGCTATTTTTTTGTGTTATTACATAACAATTTTGAATTAAAACTCAGCTAACGGCTCGTAAATCATGATTATAATTGCACGATAACATCGACATTGGATCGCGCCCCTTGAATTATAGATGCAGACATATGCTAGTCCGTAACTGATAACGTCATTGGACGTAACTTAAAGACGTCAAAATGCACCCGACGTGTGCCGTAATATCTGACGTGTCCATAACATTTGACTCATGCCATCATATTTGAATTTTATATACATTTCAGATTTTAGTTGCGGAAACTTATAAATCATTTGCGGTCCGCAAGCTCCGCAACCCAATTTCAGACACTGACACAGATACTCCGATATGTGAATAATTAGTAGAACCAATCAGAAGTGGTGGGGAAATTAGTAAATTCATACGCCGTAATATTTGACTTGTCATAATTGGGATGGAACAGAGGGAAACAGAGTGGAAGACCTTCGAGTCATAAATAGTACTTTTTCATATAATAAGTCATAAAAATTGGAGAAAAGTACATGTTAACAACCGAGGTTAGCTGAAGAACAGTGATTACTTTTTTATGACTTTATGAATGAAATATTGCTTTTCTTTGTGACATTTATGAATTATTTATGTTTGTTTGTATGCAAAATTAATATATCTTATAAAGACGTCGCTTATAATAATGAATTAGATTTTTATTATATTATATGATATTAGATAAACTGCACTAATTTTACAATTTTTTGAAAATGATTAATGGGATCAATGGTCTAGACGAAATTTTATTACCAGTATTTAATGTGTGTCATAACATTTTTTATGTATATGTCGTGACTGAAGTTGGAGTTGGAATTCAGTTGAATGAAGTTGGCACCTGCCTAAAACAGCTAACACTAATGCGTGCAGGATGATCTAATTTCAGGGGTTAATTTCAGTCAGGTGCAACTTCAGTCAACTGAAGTTCCAACTTCAGGCAGATCCCAACTTCAGTCACGACATATATATAATGCATATAATAACATCAAGTTTAATAAAACACACCAGTGGTGTTAACACCACAATTGTTATATTTCAAAAAGCTAAGAAACTGAGGTCGGATGATTAAGTAAAATGATTGGAACCCCAAAACCTTATGTTAACCAAAATTTTGAACCTTTATATTCGACCCTCTTTAGTCTATATCTACAGCCTAACCCTAAGCTTTATAGTAAAAAATATACCAGGTGTTTTAAAGTCACTCAACAGTCACTGTTTTATATAGAAATCACAATAATAATAATTGTCACGGCTGATGGGGTCTTAATTTGGATCCATTACACCTACTAAAACCCACATATACTCTCTTTTATTAACAATTCTAACCCTAAATTCTAGTCTAACTATTACAAAAAAGCTAAAAAAATACACCCTATAAAAGTAGGCCTCAATATTCAGTATCAGCCAGATAATTATTGTTGCAGATCATAATGAAATCGGATTAAATGAAATGGGGTTTCGATTTGACCTCTAAAACCAACCTATACTTGTTTATTATAAAATCTGCTTCTCAACCCTAATACTAACCAAAAAAAAAATGCACCCCAAAAACTTGTATGTTTCGGTGGCTTGTCTATCTTACACTATCCCTCATTTCATTTTAATCTGCCCACAATTATTACGTTACAATAATATTTTGCATAAATAATCATTATCTGATCCCTATATAAAAATAGAGACTATTAAGTAACTTTTGGAACATCCGGTATATGGTGTTGAGCACCACTGGTATGCTTTAGTATTCTAATAATATATGTATACTAAATTAATTATAAAATTTTGTTTTCCAGTATCAATAATACTACGTATAATCGTTCTAGTACAAATCAAATATTTAAAAAATTTGAATTGTTCTTTGCTATTGTTTTTTATAACTGCTTATTTTGTTTTAATTAGTCATAATACAATGCTATACCACTATATATATATATATATGCATCAATAAAGCAATTATATTATACAAGTTTCTATTAATATTACTAAAATAATATCTATTATATTGATTTAAACTTTAAATATGTTATGATTTGTTTTTTTGCCCTACTTTATGACCAATTGGTAATAGAGTAAATCTAGCGGCCTGTGGTGCCACAGCCAATATGTTGTGATAATCCTGTAATGCAACTCCCTTGCGGCGTCTATATTTATTATTCATCACAAATGTCAAAATCAATCTAGATCTAACAAAAAAAAAAAAAAAAAAAAAAAAAAAAAACAGGGAGAACCCGCAATGTTTCACAAAAAAACAAAAAAAAAACAAACAAAAAAAAAAAAAACAAAAAAAACAACAAAAAAAAAAACAAAAAAAAAAAAAAAAAAAAAACCAAAACCAAAAAAAAAAAAAAAAAAAAAAAAAAAAAAAAACTAGGAGGAACCGTCAATGTTGCACAACTAATCAGACTGGTAAAGGATTATATCTATAACATTGACGGTAGAGTGATCCAATATTGTAAAATAATTTTTTTATGAACCGCACACCAATGAGAGACTAGTTATGCAACATTGATAGTTCCTCCTGTTAAAAAAAAACAATGACTACTTACATATCAGTAATCTTTGGATTCAATTGAATTAAAAGTCCTAACATAATTGAACTCCTAGTATAATGCCTCTCAACATTCTTATCAAGAAATGGCTTAAATATCTCGAAATCTATTGGATCAATCTTATTGTAAAAAAATTAAATATTAAATTATGCAATTCAAAAGAAGAATTAAAATAAGATGTTAAAAATATATACTTTATGTCTAATTGCTTCCAAAATTTGATTTATCATTTGTTCTCTTTGCTTGCATTCTTGAATATCATTATTGTTAATCATATTTGATGACCAACAATATTCAAAAACTTTTTTTAAAAATTTAATATCATATAATAATTGTATAGCACTTTTTTCAGAAACATTTGTAAATTGATCTGTATCAGAAACAAACTGAATGTACAATTCAACAATTTTGAGAAATATTTGTGTATAAAGATCTTTTATTACATTCTTTATAATGAGAAATTATATTGTTAAAAAACTAAGCATTGGATAAATGTAAAACAACTTTAAACTTTAATATAAAAAAATCTTTATACATACCTCATGCAATGTTGGACTGCCAACACGATTTATTTCTCGACAAACATCAAATAAACACTTCATAATTATGTTTGATGGTTGTGAAGGCAGCTTCATTTTATTACCTTCCTGACCCTGCTCCGCATCTTGCATAGTTACTTCTATATAAAAACATTTAATTAAATTCTTTTTTGAAATTATTCTTTTAACATGTTAAAATCTAACCTTCCCAAACTAATGTTTGCACATCAGTTTCATCCCAACGAGTATTAGATAACATTCCAGAAATAACAGTTTGTACATTACAAGTGATCCATTTAATCCATGGCTGGTGAGCCGTGAAATATATATCCATTAAGATCTGGCGTAAATTTACTAAACGTGGATCTAAGTTCATATAGTGCAAGCTAAATTTATTTGGTACTTTGGAAGTGCTAAAACTTATCAAAATATCGCTAGCATTTTAACAAACCTAATGATGATGATGAGAGACGACGATTGGATTGATTTACTTTCTCTTTGACGAATACCAATTGTAAAAGTGCGGGTAGTTCAGTAGACTCGTACGCAATCGTATATGCGATACGGCCAATAAACAATCGTTTAGCTAAATAAATAAATAAAATAAAAAATAAATAAGCAACACAGAATGAAATGTGAATTATGCAAAAATATTACCATTGTTTACTGCTACAGTCTGGATATCTTCGTTTTTATCACTTGTATTAACCTCTCCCAATAAACTATCAAGTTGATTGCGATAAGATGTAACTGAGTTTACAATTGTTTCTTGAAAGAACGTGGACAAATTTTCCGTATCACTAAATAGATCAATATTCAAATTTTTAGGTATGCTTCGAATCCCAAATGATCCTGTATACAGTAATCAAATGAAAAATACCTATTGGCATTAAACAAATCATCTCCAGCAGATTTATCTAGAAATAAATCATTAATACGGTTCTCTGATGAAATAAATACTGATCCTATATCATCCTTAATATCTTTTAAATTTTTGTCAAAAGCTACTTTAACACCGTTAACAAATGATGTTTGTCCAGATACAAGGAGTTCTATTCGACTTTTGAAAACTGATTCAGTGCTATCGTGAGGCTTTGAATTAAAAAATGTGGACCCATGCGCCCAGATAAAGTTTCCAAGATGTCGTTCTAATTGTTAATTGAACATGGGCATAAGAATATATTTCGTATAAGCTATAAAATATTATATATGATTTACCTTCATTATTGGGATCTTCAAGTTTGTACAGCTCGTTATTAAGCAACTTCTCTGGTTGGTTAGATAATTCAGCAAACGATGATATTATAATGTCTTTGAATCGTTTGTTGAAACTATTCCTTAATAAATCATTCCAAACAGAAAAAGGTTTGTGAAAAACAATATGGCATATCTATACAACATATTGGTATATAATGTTACTAAAAATAGAACTCATGTAAGCCGATTAAGGATGAAAATTTTAATATTTACAAGATACCAAGACAAAACTGTCTTTTTTATGTTTAATTCAAACCCCAAACTAGTTCTATGAACTTTGCTTGGAAACTTTTTAGACGAAGATTGATCTTTATCTTTAACGCATTCATCCTCTTTTAAGATTTCCCAAATTGTTCTTCGTAATTCATGTAACTCTCTTGCACAAGGTACTTTTGATAACAAAGAATCGAGTTTTTCATGAAATTGTTCAACGATTTGATCTATCCACAAATTCATTCGTGCTGTAATATCTTCTTGTGAAAGTTGGCCACGTGTACCAGACACATGTAAAAAAGGAGTAAATGTTTGAATCGATTCAGGAAGGTAACGTACAAGTAGATGTATATTTGTTGAAGGAGAGTATAGACGGGTTAAAGAAGCTTTTGAATCACGTGGTGACACCAGGGCAGGAGATGGTTGTGCTGAATCCTCATAAACTGTGAACCCTTGTTGTAATTGATGCAGACATGATTCAAATAACGATTGTTCATTGTCTACACTAATGAAAACAGAACCAACATGATAAACAGTGCCTCTAATAAGACGAATCATTTCCTTAAACTGTTCCACCATTGATTTTGTGTCTTTTGTTTCAGACTTTTCTAAAATTTGTATTAACGCCGATGTTCGCATATCAAGACATTTACGAAATACATCTTTTTTTGTTACATCGTCCAACAACATAATTGCACAAAGTGTTTCTGCCAGACTCTTTAAATGGAGATACAAACAAACAATGTAAGAATCAAATTATCAGAGATATAATAAGTTAATAATTTTAATTATTGCAACCTGCTCAGATTGTTCAATGACTTTTAAATACAGCGTGGCTTTTTGAAGGATTTGAGCTTTAAAGTGACTGACAGCATCCCATTGACGTTGAACAACCGGAAAAGTCACCTGAAATTTTATATATTTGGAAAAAAAATTTAATACTCGAGGTGAATTGAAATAGTTTGAAAAAGATAAAGAAATATATTTTTTTACGCTATTACCGACACATTGAAAGGAGTATCTTCATTGTGAGCTTGAAGATTTTTATACACCAACTTAGCAATAAGGTATAAACGACTAGCATTTAGATATTTATGGCTTTCTAGAGATCGCCAAATCTATAAACAATATTAATTCTAAATTAATAAGAATAATACATAATTTTAGATCACAAAGTGCGTAAATTGTTATTAACCTGTTCTGGAACGTCGACCAATAATTTGATTTGTGCAGCTGATGAATATAGGTGATGTTTCTTTTCATCTTGATCAAATTAAACAGAAATTTTTAAGTTTTTAAAAAAACAGAAAAGAAATCATATGAATTAAAAATTACACCTTTTGTTCCCTTTTTATCTTCATTTATTTGAGCTTTAACAGTGCGTTTCAGAGCTTGAACATCACAAGAATCTTGCATGTGATGTAATTCTTCTTGAATGGATAAAGCACAATGACGCATGTTAACTATACTATCAGCCGCATCGATCAAATCACGATATCGTTCACTTAAAGTGTATATAATAATTGATCTTAGAATGATAGTCTAAATGGAATTAAGTCTTGTTGATCTTGTTCTTACCCAACCATAAGCCTTAATTCCTGTTTTTTTTTCTCAATATCGGATCTATTACATAGTAGCACCTCTTATTTTTAGTAGAATGGCTGATTTTGTGTTTTTATAAATAATTTTTGGCAAACCTTGTTCTTTTCTCAAGAGCACGTAATTCTGGAATACTATGATTAACGAAAAGTTCATCGGCGCTAATAGAAGAGTTATATTCGGCATGAAAGCCATAATTTGTCAACTCTGTAGCCGGCATATTAAAAGTTATGTAAGAATTTAAAAAATGAAAAATTCAGTTACTGTTACATAAATACGCAATTTGTTACACAATGATTGTACGAAAAGTCCCAAATACGGAGGTCGTCTGAGACAATTCATGTGACTATCGTCCAATCAATCTATAGAAAATTTGATGATCCCGGATCAGCCCGGCGAAAAATCTAAAAACGGCAGTCATAATAAAAAATGTGCTATAAACGTCCTAACCTAAAATGGCCATAACCCTAAAGTTAATTCGATGGTGTTCAAAAAGTTTCACACAATCCCTTTTTTTTAAGTGACCTTATATATAAAAATCTCGATAATTATTTTATGCAAATATTCAAATCATCATGATCTCAATACTGCAATATATGTTATCATACTTAAACAATAGGGATCGTGTATAGGAACTTTTCGAACACTCAGTATTAATTTATATCCTCCAAATACGGGGGACCGTTAAAGCCAAGTGCGTTTAAGATTAGTTTTTTTGATGCAGTTACGATTATTATTTTATAAAAATATCAAGAATGCAATTTATGATCAATATGTAAACGCACCTAGCTTTAACAGACCACAAATACGAAATGACCCCGATATGTTTCACATGATCTGTATCCAATTACATCGGTAATTTTTAAGTTGTTGGATTCAACAAATATTGTTGTAAAGCGAGATTATACTCACGCATGTTTTAGGGGAGTGTCGGATATCAGCTAATATTGTAGGGTGAGGAAAGTAGACAAAACCTCAGGTCTAAATACTGAAATATATAGTTTCTCATGAGGGAGGGGTAAGTAATAAATTGCTCTTAGCTAATATCGTCAGCCATTATAGAAAGACGTATAAAAAAATATTTTTTATGTAACCATATCGATATCGGAATCATTTCTATATTTGGGACTTTGATTGTACGATAATATACGATCATCTTATATACGGAATTATTCGGAGCTTCTCACTTTATATAAATAATAATGAAAGTAGGTAAGCCATCATTGGGACATGTATCGAAATGAAGAAGACACATCGTATGGACCCGCAAGATCCGAATTCTTTTCGTCATAGATTTTCTTTTGTCAATGGAATTATTTATCGTAAGATTTTTATATTATTTTCTTAATCTATTTACTATATACATCATTTCTTTTATAACAATTAAAATTTTAAAATTATTTATTCAACAATGACAAAAAAACAGATTATGTAGACGAGGGAGAAGAAAGAAATGATGTTATAATACTATGTCATGGGTTCCCAGATTTGTAAGTAGAATGTGTGATACTGATACTTAAAAAAAGATATTATCTTTTGTATTATTTTAATAATATTTTTTCAGCTGGTATGGCTGGCGTTATCAAATTCCTTTTCTAGTATCTAAAGGTTTTAGGGTAATCGCACCAGACCTTCGAGGATACGGTCAAACAGTATGTATTGCAAGTTAAAAACTTTAATAATTTTTTTTAGCAATTTTTATAATCCTTATGTGTGATTCATGATTACAGGAAGCGCCCCGATGCCCACCTAACAGTCTTCATCAATATGGTTTTAAGAATATTTGCAAGGATCTTAAAGAAATAATGGATCAGCTTAAGATTAAAAAGGCCATTTATATTGGACATGATTGGTAAATTATATATATATAAGATATATATTTAATATGGATTACTATTCTTCTTTAATAATAATTATTTGGATTATGCAACTAAGAATTTGAATTACTCTACATCAAATATAAGGGGTAGTTTCGTAGTCTGGAGGATGTGTCTTTATTATCCAGAACGAGTCCGGGCTGTAATTAGGTAAATACATTGCTCAATTAACCTAAAAGTTTATCACATGTACAGTACTAAAAAATCATTAATGTTACAGCCTTTGTATTCCTTACATTCCACCTAAGGATACGTATCTCAGTATTGAGTCGATTGTCGAAATTTATCCACAGTTTAAGTATCATATTTATCTTTCTCACCCAAAAGCCGAAATTGAGTTAAATAGTAATGTTAGTAAAGTTGGTGATTTTTATATACAAACTATACTATTGATTGTTAATATCAAATTTTTTTAAAAAATGATAAATCAGCCAGAAACATTTTTCAAAATTGTTTATCGCACTTCGAAACCAGATGACAGGCGTAAAATTTTTGATGGAAGTTCTATGACAGGAATAGCTATTGAAGGCATAGAACGAAGTCCTTTAATCAGTCAAAAGGTAAAACTATTATTATAGTATTCGTCTATTGCTTGAAAAAAAACCAGCTATGTTATCATGTTTTAAAATTTATGATCAATTTAAAGGAATTGGATTACTATGTTTCACAATACCAAATTCATGGGTTTCATGGAGGTTTGAATTGGTATAAGACTAAAAAGATCAATTTTCAAGATGAGAAAGGTAAGCCTGATTAATGAATATCTCTTATAAGTATGTATGATTAGCAGGATACATAATTCTTATACCATTTCTTTAGGCGCTAGGAAGCAAATAGATCATCAAGCTCTCATGGCAAGTTGGTCTTATATATCTGAATATATTGACTATATATTAATTACAAATTTCATATAAAATTATTTTAGATTACTGCTGGTAGAGAGATTTTTAATCCTCCTGACATGACCAAACCTATGCAGATTTATTGCAAGAATTTGACAAAAAAAGTATCTTATTACCTATAGTGTTTCTAGTAATTTACTCAATTTAAACATGGTATCTCAATATTTTTCAAAAATTTTAATTTATTTACAAATAATAAGCATATTGAAGAAGCAGGGCATTGGATGATGGTAGAACAAACACATCAGCTTAATGAATATTTAGGGGAATATTTAGAAAATTTAAAGAAGATTGAAGAGACGTCGCAAGATTCCAAAAAAATACCTCAGAATAATTCAAAATTATAAATTGTAAATATTTCAAACTATTTTTGTTTGAATTTATAATATGGTATATGGAGTTCATTTTTTTTCAATAATTATTTAATATAGACGAGTCAAAATGGTCCTGATGGAAACAATTTCTTGGTCTTCTAATAATATATTTTATCATTAAGATATTTAGCTAATTTGAATGTATAAATTAGGGTTTATTTAAAAGCATAACTTTTAGTATAAAGCTACTGTAACACCTCAATCAAATACCTGGGTATTTTATAATTTGTATCTAAGATATATAAGATATAATTTGAACATAGTTATATTAGTTAAGTACAGCATAATATCTGATGAAAATCTTAAATACATTTTATAGTTCCCGGGTCTTTTATACGCAGCTCTTTGATAGTCCATTTGATACAGATTGTCATAAAACTCATTATAATCAATAGATCCGTTTAATTCAAACAATTACAGTATCATACTTGATAATTTATACAAAAAACCTTAAAAATATAAAAATTTGTGTTCATTTACTAGTATATGAACTTTGTCTTTAAATCTTCAATCAATAAAATGTCCTGAAAAGTATGGAACCTTTATTATTGAATATTACTTGTCTAATCATTTACTTTGATTTTTTCACTAAATTACAATTTAAAAGAATTTCTTAAAGAGATTGAAATAATATCGATAACATTGATTATTTCCTTAATTACAGAAATATACATGATTGATTATCATAGAGTCGGATTGATAATGTGTGATATAGCATGTTATTTTATCAAACTCAACTGCTTATATTTTTCTCTTGGTGTATTTAACCAAAAATAAATATTCTCTTTCCTCTAACAATCGTTTCCAGAAGCTACGAAATAGGTAATATTAGTTTATGAAATTGTAAGAAACAAAAAATACTTAAATATTTGATGGTTTGTTACTAAACGTAGGAACTCGAATCTTGAAAACAATATGATGTTCACGACTCTTAGCTATGTTGTCTTAATCACGATTATTGGGTTAGTAACTCATAAGTTTCTCTTGACAGATACCGAAGTTCCACTTTTCTATCAGGATAGTGAATCAGATAATGAGGATGATAGAGAGAACGAATTATTTTGAAGGTTGTGATAATTGTGATAATTTCGGGTGGATTTACTTTTAAGGACATATTCTTGCAACTTCATCGAGCTTAATATTGATCGTTAGATGCAAATACGTAGTATGAACTTTATTGTTATTATTAAAACAAACCTATTTAGATGTTACTAATATGTAACTTATAATTATATAACTGCTATATGAGGATTGTCAAAGGAAAACCTGTAATAAATTTTTCACTGTACCGGGCTTAAACTCAACTTGTAATATGATCATGTAATTGAAGCCGATTAAGATCAGTATTCTAGTCGTTTGGTTAGAACACTGTTCATACAGTGATTAAATTATAATTTTTCAAAGGCCCGGTACGGTAAAATTTTAAATTTATGCTTACAGGTTTTCCTTTTGCAACAATCATATATTACAAATTGTTAAGTGACTGATCTATGTTGTAGCATATTCAAATTTCCTTATGATAGTATATAGAATGATTTAAGGAATAATATTATAACTTTTAAATAAGATATTAAAAACAATGCTAGTTGTTAGCTCGTCGTTAAATGGCAAACCACACGGCAAACATGAGAATAATTACAATCTGAAAAAATAATCCTACCCGGGTCACCCGGGTTGAGTTGTAGCCAACCCACGGGTCAACCCGGAGTTGACCATGGGTTGACCTGTGGGTTCATAGGTATGATTGGTTGATGTAAATCAATTGCCTGAATAACTAATTTATATGTTTAAAGTACTTTTTAAAAATGTAACGTTTCACTAAAAAAAAATCATTGTAAAACCCATTTCTGGCTTCTATATTCACTGTGCAAAAATAATCATTAACCCAAGAACTTCGTTTAGAAGCGGATGTGCTTACCATTTATTGATAATTCTAGTTATATTAATCATATGTAAGTTCTAAATGCTGGATTGAGACGTTCATGTAAGATTTAACTTGAAGAATTCTATGCATATCATTTGAC